GCTCGCAGCCGAAGCCGCCGTCCTAAGAAAACCAGCGCTCCCGTTCGAGACTTCCTCCCGTTTTACGCTGGACTGGCGCGCTAGTCTTTCTCTCATCGGCGCCGCCCCTAGCAAAAACAACGCTCCCGCTCGAGGCGTCCTCCCTTTTTTACTCCGCCGAAAACACCCCCTCCAACAAAACCAGCACTCCCGCCCGAAACTTCCTTCGGTTTTACGCTGGGCTGGCGCCCAACCCTGTTTTGAATTTGCGCCGTTCCCAGCAAGAACAACGCTTCCGGTCGAAGCTCCCTTTTTCCTCAAGACGGTGCTGATCCTCGCCGTCGACAGCCCCCGTCCCGACAAGTTCTTCCCTTCTTACTCAAGGCGGTGTTCCTCCTCGCCGCTGAAAACACCCGCCCCGACAAAACCAGCGCTCCCGCCCGAGACTTCCTTCGGTTTTACGCTGGGCTGGCGCCCAATTCTCTTATGAATTTGCGCCGCTCCCAGCAAGAACACCGCTCCTGCTCGAGATTTCCACCCTTTTTCTTCGGGACGGTGCTGTTCCTCGCCGCCGACAGCCCCCGTCCCGACAAAACCACGGTTCCCGCTCGATGCTTCTTCCTTTCTTACTCAAATAGGTGCTCCTTCTCGCCGCCGAAAGCCGCCGTCCCAACAAAACCAGCGGTCCCGCTCGAGACTTCGTTTTGTTTTACGTTGGAGTAGCGCCTTACTCTCTTCAGCATTGGCGCCACTCCCAGCGACAACAGCAGCCTTGCTCGAGACTTCCTCCTTTCTATTCAGGGCCAGGTCCTTGCCTCACCGCCGACAGCCCCCATGCCCACCAAGGCAATCCTGTCGTTCGATACTTCCTTGTGTTTTACCCTTTGCTGGGTTTCCACTGGCGGTCTCGCATCGGCGCAGCAAGGCGCGGGCATGTGTTTTCGAGGCGGGATATGTTGAAATTCCTCGGAGGAGGTGTTTGCAAGACCTCATTGGGCGGGAGATCTGGGAATGGGAATAACGGACCCCGCTATAGAACAAGAGCCCCCCATGATGTGGATGGTTATCATGATGGTGGCATGTTCCGTGTGGAAACATCGCGCATGAGGGTAAACTTAATGTTGTTGTTGTTGTTGTTGTTGAACACTAAAGAATTATTATTGTTGGACCCCCTGGTGCACGCCCCCCGCCCAAAACCTAGGCCGCAGCTACATTTTCATCATTTTTCTGCGAAAGCTTCAGAAAAGTGGATTACCCCCGGATCCGGTTTTTTGTTGACGCTCGTTTTCCCTTGCAAAAAACAATAGAAAATGAAATTCTTGTTCTTAGTTGATCAAATTTCAAGAATCCCTTGCAAAAAATAAGGTAAAGTGGACATTCGCGCTCGCAAGACGAAATCCTTCCAAAACCTTAGGTTTCGTAGCGATTTTAACATAAAAACATCAAAAACCCAATGGTTTTTTAAGAAAAAATTGTCAAAATGTCCTTCCGCGCGCTCTTGCGGATTCATAGGAAACACACCACTTTTTAAACATTTCTGTCAAAAGGGTCTTTGCGTGCTACTTCTTCAGGTGCTTTGAACTTCTCCAACAACGTCTGCTTGTACATACGTATAATTTCAGAACTTACCGTGCATGCGATCGTTTACAACATGGTGGACCGTGCGTATGTCACGAACCTTGTATACATGTGTTTCTCTCCCTCCGTCTGGCTGTGCACGCGCGCGTTGGGCACTGAGAGTTAGGATCATAGCGCCATGAGTCTATGAGCAATGCATGCGTCATCCTTGGGACTGTATAACATCAGTGTAACACATGTACTTCTGTAATCGCATCCCCACGAATTTGCCCCAAAAATGTGACCAACTATCTTGGCACTGCGTACCATCTCACGTGTACCGTGTACCACATCATATGTAACAGATGTGATCAACCTCTGTGGGTGTGTACCCCACGCCAGTGTAGTAGCCAGGGTCGTCCGCACGCCACGAAGTGAAGTGTCCCAACGTCATAGGGCGGGAAGCTGGGTGTGGGTGGTCTCGAAGAGTCGTTTGGATATTTGGTAGAGCTTGAACGGCCCCCCCACGAAGTGGGGGTATTGGCTGGTGTCGCAAGAAAACCCTGGCACTGGGGAGAACACTGAGCGTTCGGGTAAAATGATTGTTGTTGTTGTTGTTGTTGTTGTTGTTGTTGTTGTTGTTGTTGTTGTTGTTGTTGTTGTCGTTGCTGCCGTTTTCGGCCTACCGCGGCCCTCGCCGAGCCGCAGAACGACTCAGGATGGAACGCTGGTCCCGCGGAACGGGTCGAGACTTCTGGGGGCCGACGGTGTGAGCAAATCATGATTTGGGGCGTCTGGGGGGTGGGAGCGTGGGGGAGGGACAAGCATCCTCCTCCACCTCGTCCTCCTCCACCTCCTCCTCTCGTCCTCCTCCACCTCCTCCTCCCCCTCCTACTCCTCCCCCTCCTCCTCCTCCTCCTCCTCCTCCTCCTCCATACGTTTTCCACCGCGCCTGTTTTTCTCTGTCCGCGGAGGGGTGTCCTTGCGGACCTGGTCCCCCAGGTGAGGTCCTCGTACATGTTTTTCGGTCGCAGAGGGAAGCTCTGTACATTGGAGGGGGCGGTGGCGAATGTGCATGACGATGAGCAGGAGTAAGGGGAAAAAGGGGGAAAACGATGATGAAGGAGGAGGAGGAGGACGAGGAGGAGGAGGAGGAGGAGGAGCAGCAGCAGCAGAAGGAGCAGGAGCAGGAGCAGGAGCAGGAAGAGCGAGTGTGGGTGAGTCTGAGTGTGAGTGCAGGTCGGGCCTTGAATCTGGAGTTTGAGTGCGTCCCGGACCGAGTTCCAGCGGTCCCAGGGCCCGAAAACAGCTTCTATATGGCCTCACCGGACTCGCCGGACTCACCGAACTCACCAGACGGACTCACCGGACCCACCGGCGCCAGCGGAGGAGGCACCGGTTTCACAGGACCCGCCGGACCCACCAGACTCGCCAGACTCACCTGACTCCCCGGACCCGCCGGACTCACCGGACTCGCCGGACCCACTGGACCCACCGGATCCGCCAGCAGCGCCGGATCCGGCCGGGCCCACTGGACTGCAGCAGGGGAGAGCAGGAGGACCAAAGTGAGGGCGGAGGAGGGGGATGGAGATGGGCGACGACGACGAGGAACGCATGGGATCCACAAGTGTTGCTCGCGCCAGGGGCGAGCGCCCCGTTGTCCGAGCGGCGGGGGCACATCGCCGACCTTGAGATGAGGTCAACGCTACAGCGGGAACGCGACCTTGAGCAACCAGCACATAACTTTCCAATTGGAGATGGGGTTCTGCTGTGTAACACCACGCGGTGGCACCTCCCGTGCGCAGACGCAGGGCAACAAACAGTAATTATGTGTGAGAGGCGGCGCCAGCCCTTCGTGCACAGTGCGCCGGCGAGAGAGGAGAGTGGTGTGCTCGTGCGGAGCAGCTGCGGAGCCAAGGGGGGGAGGGGGAAGGCTGAGGGGCTGAAGGGGCGATGGGCTGAGGCGTGATGGGCTAACTGAGGGGCTGAGGGATGGCTGAGGGGATGATGCTGATGCTGATGCTGACACTGGTACTACTGCTGATGAGGATGACGATGCTGATGGTGATGTTGACGGTGATGGTAATGGTGATGGTGATGACGGCGCTTTTGTTGATTATGATGGGGATGAGGGTAATGTTGATGGTCATGATGATGTTGCTGATGATGAGGCTGTTGTTGATGATACCGGTGATGATGATAGTTGTGATGATGGCCATGATGATGATGTTGGTGTAGTCGACAGAGCTGATGACGATGGTAATGATGTCAATGATTTTGATGTTTTTGCTGATGATGGTGATGTTGATGGCGATCATGCTGATGATAGTGATGATGGGGATTTAGGTGTTCATGATTATGATGCTGGTGATGATGCTGCCGATGGTGATGATGATGATGATGCTGTTGATGCTGATGGGGGTGGTGACGGTGATGATGATGATGATGATGATGATGACGATGGCGATGACGATGCCGATTACGATGATGCTGATGATGATGCGGATGCGGAATATGATGATGATGGTGGTGGTGATGATGTTTATGGTGGTGTCGATGAAACTGCTGCTGCTGCTGATGCTGATGATAATGAGAATGATGACGATGATGGTGCTGATGCTGATGACGATGACGATGACGATGATGACGACTGTGATGGTGCTGGTAAGGGTGATGGTGATGGTGGTTATGATGATGCGGATGATGCTGCTGATGATGATGCCGGTTGTGGAGGTGATGATGCTGCCGATGATACTGATGGGGATGATGATGGGGATGATGATGATGATGTTGATGATGATGATGATGATGATGATGATCATAATGATGATGATGTTGCTGCTGATGCTGCTGATGATGTTGCCGATGCTGATGATTCCGATGATGATGATGATGATGATGCTGCTGATGATGATGATGATGATGATGATGATGATGATGATGATGATGCTGATGATGATGATGATGGTGATGGGGGTGCTGATGATGACGATGGCGATGATGATGAGTATGGTGATGATGATGCTGATGATGATGTTCATGATCATGATGCTGCTGCTGATGTTGATGATGCTGATGATGATGCTGCTGATGCTGATGATGCTGCTGATGATGATGCTGCTGATGATGATGATGCTGATGATGATGATGAGGAGGAGGAGGATGAGGAGGAGGAGGGGGAGGAGGAGTAGGAGGAGGAGGAGGACGAGGAGGAGGATGAGGATGAGGATGTGGAGGTCGAGCAGTAGGAGTTGGAGGCCAATCCGTCCGTGCGTTGTCTGGGTGGGAGCTGTCGCCAGCTCTCGGTGCTCAGCACCGACCCCCCAGGAGGCGAAAGATACACGCACGAAATCGAAAAATGCACGGGGAATGGACGTCCGAGCGATGGCAAGTTTTGCTCCTCCATACAGTGCGCAATCCTGACGTCGGGCACTTCCCTCACGGCCTCCTCCCCCCACCCGAAGGAGGGGCCATTCGCAGGCCGGCTGGACCGGGCCGTGCTCTCCGAGCCCGACGGCGCCCAGCTCCGCGACCTCGCCGCCGAGCTGCACAGGCGCTCCGCCAAGGCCGACGGGTGGGGGGGAGAGTTGTTGGTTTGTGTTGGGAGAATCTGGGCCATAACGCGCGTTCTGCCCTCCAACCCCCCTCCTTCCCCCTCCTTCCCCCCCTCCCCCCTCCCCCGCCGCATAACGTGACGCCCCCCTTCCCAGTGCGGCCCTGGCACTGCTGCAGTGCGTCCACAGTTTGTGGTGCCGCACCCACACGGTGGGCGGGCGGGGGGGCGTTACGTTATCCCCCCCCGCTCCTGCCCCCCCCCCATAACGCCCATTATCGGCGCCGCGAAAAATAAAACAGGCGTCCTGGAGAAGGGGGGGGCTCCGAACCCAGACCCCCTCGCGTCGCAAATAATGCACGACGGCATCTTCTGGCTGAGTTTGGCCTCTCGCGGCTTTCACTGGGCTCCGAGACCGTCAAAAAGCAGCTTGGGATGTAAGTCCTTGGGAATGGGTCAAGACCTCTGAGGGTCGACATTGTGAACCAAATTATAAGGTCAGGTTCTCGAAGTTGGAGGTTTTCGGGCGTTTTGGTCGGCTCTCGACGGCCTTCCAGCCTCGGGGTGCTTTCGGGCGTTTTGGTCGGCTCTCGACGGCCTTCCAGCCTCGGGGTGCTCTCCAGCATCTTCGCCTCGCCGAGGGACAGCGCGGGGCTGCCCAGAGCGTCTTTTAACGGCCGCTGGAGACCGAGTTCTGACCCGAAAGTGGGACCACGAGGTTCGGAAGGGTGCTTCTGTGGCGGGTGGCGAAGGGAGGCTACAGAACTTCTCTGGGCAAGCCAGATGGGCATGGGGGAGCTGCGGGGAAGCTCTGGGGGGTGGAGGGTGGAGGTGGTCTCGAGATCGTTTTATCGGGGACAGATTAGGATGAGGCGTGTGAGGTCGAGGACGAGGAAGAGGAGTATGACGAGGACGAGTAGGATGTTTGCCACTATGATGGTGATACCAGTAACGATACCGATGACGATGATGGTGACGACGATGATGATGACGATGATGCTGATGCTGATGATGCTGGTGATGATGATGCGGATGATGATGATGCGGATGATGATGCTATTGATGACGATGCTGCTGATGATGGTGATGGTGATGGTGACGATGGTAATTGTACTGCCCGTGATGATGCTTATGATGATGGTGGTGGTGATGATGATGTTCCTGCTTCTGATGAGTATAAAGGTGATGATGGTAACGATGCTGCTAACACTTGCAGTGATGCCAAGGTTGAGATAATATTGATGCTGATTGTGCTGCGGCTGATGATGGTGATGCTGCTGATGATGGTTATGTTGACGATGACAATGGTTTCAATTATGATTGTTATTGTGCTCATGGGGATTGTGTTGAGGCTGTCGATAATTATGTTGTCGGTGCTGTTGATGATGATGACGACGTTCAGGAGGACGATGCTGATGATACTGATGGTGTTGATGATGATGTTGATGATGATACTGTTGATGCTCATATTGATGATGATGCTGATGAGGCTGTGATGATGATGACGATGGAGATGATGCTTGTGCTGATGATGGTGATTATGATGATGTTGATGATGCACATGATTATGATGATGCTGATGCTGATGCAGTTGATGATTAGGTTTATTATGATGCTGGTGATGATGACGAAGGTGATGATGCTTGTGCTGATGATGGAGATGATGCTGATGTTGATGATGCTGTTGCTGATGATGCTGATGCTGATTATGATGATGTATGATGATGAGTATGCTGATGGTGTTGTTTATGATGATGGTGCTGATGTTGTTGTTGTTGATGAAGATAGTGATGGTGAGGATGCTGGTGATGATGATGATGATGATTATGATGATGCCGATTATGATGACGAGGATGATGATGCTGTTTAGGAGGATGATGATAATTGGTGGTGATGATGATGGTGATGCTGCTGCTGCTGCTTCTGATGATGATGATGATGTTCATGATGATGATGATGATGATGATGATGATGATGATGATGATGATGATGATGATGATGATGATGATGGTGGTGGTGGTGGTGGTGGTGGTGGTGATGATGATGATGATGATGATGACGACTAGGAGGAGGAGGAGGAGGAGGAGGAGGAGGAGGAGGAGGAGGAGACCAGTCGGCAGTGTTTTGTGTTAGCGCAGAGCGAGCATGGGGGAGGCGGGGGAGGAGAAGGAGGAGACTGAGGAGGAAAAATGGGGGGGCAGGGGAGGGGTGTGGGAGCGGGGGGCCAACCTCCCCTTCCCGTTTCCCTCCACTCCCGCGCCAGTTTTGCAGCACGGGCTCTCCTTCGATGCAGTCGTGCGAGGGTGCTCCTCCTCCTCCTGCTCCTCCAAATCTCCCGGCTCTCCTCCCTCTCCCCCTCCCCTTCCTCCCTTTGCTCCTCATTCTCACCCTCCTCATCCTCTTCCTACTTCTCCTCATCCCCCCTCCTCTTTCTCCTGATCCTCCCTCCCACTTGGATTGGCACCGGTTTGCAGCAGGTGCTCTCCGAATGCAGTCGTCGTCGACGTCGCCGCCGTCGTCGTCGCCGCTCTCAGCCTCCTCCTCCTCCTCCTCCGCTTCCTCATGGCCCTTCAACCCAGGGGGGTTGGGGGGCAGGGGGGCTCAGCAGGCACGCGACCGCACCTCGGCGGCTTCGGCCATTCAGGGCCTCGTGGCTGCATCCTCGCGCTCCACGCGCCCGCATGGGCGCTGGGGCGGAGGAGGGTTCGCGCACCGGCCCTTGGCCCCGAGGGGGAGGGGCGTCACTCCTTCGCGGTCGCACTGCCTGGATCTCGCGCGGCGCCCGGTGTTGTGCGGTGCCGTGTGGTTCTTGCCGACCTGGACTCCAGGGCGGTCCAGGCCCGCGGGCTCGTCCCGTGTTGCATGGAAGGCCCTTGGCGGCCGTCTGTTGCGCCCCTCTCCCCCCCCCTGCCTGGTGCGGAGCAATGTCCTGCGAGGTGAGCTGGCGCCGGGCCGTGCCGAGTGGCTCGGTCGCGTCCCCGCTCCAGCAACGCTTCGAGTTGATTGCCCACTGCAGGAGCTGTCGCTCGGAGGCTGCGTAGAATCCTCCTCTTCGTCCTCCTTCTCTGGACCAAATCGTTTGTGCAGCCACGACGCTGAGAGCAATTGACCATCTGGTTTCAGGAGGGGCTGTGGTGGCTGTTGGGCCGTTCCTCAAATATAGATCGGGGAACCTCTTCGTAGCTAAGGCTCGCTGTGGCCAAGGAAAACCCTTCGTTCGTCAATCAGCGTTCTCCATGGCAGCGCTATGATTGTAGCTTTTGTAGGAAATTTGGGAGGTGGAGGAACGAGGATTGCGATCCCCGAGGTTTCGGCTCCTCCTGCGGCTGCTGCTGCTGCTTCCGCTCCTTTCCTTTTCCTTATCGATAATTTCTCCCTGTCGCACCCCGAGGCCAGTTTTTAGGGCGGGCCGGGCGTTTCGCCTGAGACTTCTTCACAACTTTTGACCCTGAAGCTTAGAACTTGGCAGCAATTTCACAGATGGAGGGCGGCCCGTTTTCAAAATGTGGCTCTCGCCTTAGCGCCGCGCATATTATTTTGAACACGCTGCAAGAGTTTCATGTATTGAGGGCGGCCGTTTTCAGAATGTGGCTCTCGCCTGAGCGCCGCGGGCACTCCTTTCAAACATTTGCAAGAGCTTCCCGGATTGAGGGCGGCCCGTTTTCAACATGTGGCTGTTGCCTTCGCGTTGCATGCCCTCGTCTTAAAGTTCCATGATCAGCGTACCAGTAACGGCGCGTAGGAAATATTCAGGATTATGCTAGTGCAACAGTTACGCTGATTCGCGGTATTGAAAGACGCAACAGCCAGGCTGATCCGTGGCGTTGGAATCCCAGGAGCAATGTTTTAGCATGCTTCGGGGTCTTCAAACGGTTGTCTTCCAACAAGGCAGTTCCCTCAATGGATCTGAACCGTTGTAGGGGCCTATGAAGATGGAGCTTGGAGGGAGGGTTTATTCCAACATCGTTGATGGTTCTTGGGTTTACACTCTTGGGTTTACAGGAGTACGCTGGTCCTCCGCCTCCTCCTCCTTCTCCTCCTGTTCTTCCTTGCAGCAGAACCCCTTTTGGGCACGCTCGACCTTCTCTTCCTGCTCGTTGCTGCTGCTCCTCCTCCTCACTTCTAGCTGTTGCTGCTGCTGCTGCTGCTCGTCGGTTTCCTCCTCTTCTCCATGCTGCCCCTCTTCTTCCACCGCATCCTCATCGTCGTCCTCGTCGTCCTTTCGGGCACGCTTGGCCTTCTCGTCCCTGTCCTTGTCGCTGTCGTCGTCGGCGTCGTCGTAATCGTCGTCCGCTTCCTCTTCGTCGTCCTCCTGCTCTTCATTCCCCTCTTCCTCCTAATCCGAATCATCGGGTGAGAGGTCCAGAGAGGGGAGGGCAAAAACGTGGATGGAGGGGATGGGGGGTGGCGGGGCGCAAGCATGGCAGGGGGTGCAAAAGGACGGAGGGCAGGGGGATGGGAGGGGGTTGGGAGTCCAGGTTGTCGCTGTCACGAGGAAAGCATTTTGACCCGTTAATGTTCGAGGCGCGGCTTTCTTTGTCCAAGTGTTGCTTCTGTGAACTTGGACGGTGCCGTGGTTCAATGTTCCAGGGGGGGTGGGACAAAAAGGCCCATGACGGATTGGGGGAGGATGGGGGGGGATGCGAGCGGGAGAAGAGGGAGGAGGAGGAGAGGGTCATGATAATGATGATGTTGATGGTGACGGTGATGGTGGTGATGATGTTAATGTTGAGGATCGTGTTGATGTTGTTGACGATGAGGGCGGTGATGAGGACGATGATGGTTATGCAGTAGATGGTGGTGACGCGGATGATGGTGCGGATGTAGTTGATGATGTTGGTGATGATGACGGTGATGATGATGACGATGATGATGATGATGACGATGATGATGATGATGAGGATGATGATGATCATGACGATAATAATGATAATAATGATAATGATAATAATGATGATGATGATGATGATTATGATGATGATGATGATGATGATGATGACGGTGGTGGTGGTTATGGTGTTGGTGATAATGACGATGACGTTGTTGATGATGTCGGTGATGACGATGGTGATGGTGATGGTGGTGGTGGTGGTGGTGATGCTGGCGATGATGGCGTTGGTGGTGATGGGAAAGAGGGGGAAGAGGAGGACCAAATGATGGGGATCAGGAGCGAAGAGGCTCTCCGTATTGCTCGCCAGGCCCGGGGCGTGAAACCTTGCGACGAGAATGACCATCTCCTCGTGCTGCCGAGCTTGGGGGACTGCCAGGATACGGCCGCTTACTTCTTGTCGATGGTCGAGGGAGGAGGAAGGATGGGGGTGCGGAGGCAGGAGGAGAAGAAAGGAAGGAAGGAAGGAAGGAAGGAAGGATGGGAAGAAGAGGAGGAGGAGGAGGAGGAGAAGGAGGAGGAGGAGGAGGACCAGCGTACACCCAAGAATCGTCAACGATGTCGGAGTAAATCATCCCTCGAAGCTTCCTCTTCATAGGCCCCTGCGGCGGTTGATTTCCACTGAGGGAACTGCCCCGTTGGAAGACAACCGTTTGAAGACCCTGAAGCATGCCAAAACATTCTTACCGGGACTCCAACGCGACGGATCAAATTGATTTTTGCGTCTTGACGATCCTGAATCGTGCCAGAACGCCGTTCCTGGGACTTCAACACTGCGAACTAACGTAGCTGTTGACCCTCATAATCCTGAGTCGTTCCACAATAATATGTCGGGTACGTAGAACATGGGATTCGGTGAAACTCTTACAAGGTTGAAAAGGAGTATGCGCGTCGTTGAGACGAGATCTACATGTTGAAAACGAGCCGCCCTCAATCCGTGAAGCCCTTTGCATTGTTTAAGTGGATTATGGGCGGCACTAAGGCGAGAGGCACATTTTGAAAACCACTCGCCCTCAATTCGTGGAGTTGTGGTGATTTTGTACAACGAATGTAGAACACCACATTTTGAAGACTACCCGCCCCACACCTGTGAATCTCTTGCAACTGTTGAAGTCAATGTGCGCGGCGCTCAGGCGAGAGCCACATTTTGAAAACCACACGGCCTCAATCCGTGAAGCTCTTGCAAATGGTTAAGACGACTGCGCGCAGCGCTGAGGCGAGAGCCACATTGTGAATTCCACCCGCCCTGAATTTGTGAAACGGTTGTCAATATTTTTAGCTTCAGGGTCAAAGATGATGAGGAAGTCTCAGGCGAAACGCCCGGCCTGGAGCAGCAGAAGAAGGAGGAGGAGGATGACAGGGCCGACCCGCACCAAAGCGGACGCAAACCCCAATCGTGGGGCGTGTGGAGGATGACAATCACGTTACTGATGGTGTAGTGTATGCCGGTTTTGACCCGTGTCGCACTTCCTCCAAGACAGCGCTTCGACGTATACCATATGAAGTTTTTGGCGGAGTCGCCATGCCGACCTGGAGCAGGCAAGGTTTCGACGTGCGCTCGGGAAGGAGCTCTGCATAGGCGGAGTCGCAATGTCGACGTCGAGCCGAACAGGATTCGATTTGTGGTGATGAAGAAAGAGGTCCTGGACGGAATCGCCGCTTCGACTTCGAACCGAAAACGGTTTCGACTACAGTTTTGGAGGAAGTCCTTGGCGGGATCACCATTCCGACTTTGAATCCAAAATCCCGACATCGGTCCCAACCGTCCTGTGTGAATGGGGCCCTCATTTTGACTCAGCAGCGCCGCGCCCCACGTGCCCACCTCCCACCCTCCCTCCATCCTGCCCCTGTTCGCCGCATGTCAATTCTGGCGCGCCCCTTCGTTAACCCAAAGGCAGCCACACCGAACGCCTCAGGGGCATGATGCCGCATATAGTGGCGACCTCTGCCAAGGGGCACCCTGCTGCCTCCAGGGTGCCTTGGGCTTCTTGGGCTCCGATGGTTTTGCGACGAGGAGCGTGACGTCCCCGCCCCAAAATCAATGGACGTCCAAGGGTGTCAGGACTGGGTTTCTTGTGGAAGGTTTCTTGTGGTCGGGCCTCCCCCGTAGCGCCCTCATCGCCCATTCTGGCACACCCCTCAAATGTTCCGTGGCCTTCTCGGGCGTCCCACCGAAGGCCCCAGTGGCCCCAGCAGCAGGTTACGCATGGCGCCGCCGCGCCTTTCGGCACACCACTCACACTCTTCCTGGCTCCATAGGGAGCTCCACCTACAGCCCCAGTGGAAGGGTCCGCCTGGCAGCGCCGCCCATGTCAGGCGGAAGGGTCAGCACGGCGGCGCCGTTCATTTCGGCGCATGCTTCGCAGGTTTCGTGGCACCGTGTGGAGCTCGACCTGCGGCCACAGCAGCAGGTTCCGCACGCGGGCGCCGCCCATGTCGGCACACCTCTCACGAGCGCCGCGCCATTACACAGGGGTTCCACCCGCAGGCTCACGGGTAAAGTCTGCACGCGTACTTCCGCCCGTTTTGGCACACCCCTCATGCGAGCCCCGCCTACGGTCCCAGTGGGAAAACGCGCCTGGTTTCCCAACGCAGGTTCGGCGCACCGTTTACACGGTTGGTGCCTCCCTCCACATACGGCCCCATTTGGAAAGTTGCATGCGTTCCCCCATCCATTTCGGTACATCCCTTTGACGGGCCGTCCACAGAGAGGCTCACAACCACGTTCCACGAAGCTGCTAAAGGTTGGGTTCCTCGCCAAGCAAGTAGACCATAGCATGGCAGAGAGCCAAGTTGAGCCGTCCTGCTTCCCCCTCCTCCTGCTCCTCTTTTTCCTTATGCTCCGCCTCCTCCTCCTCCTCCTCCTCCTCCCTCAGCTTTTCGCAGACGCCAGATCTCCACGAGCCCGATCCCGATCCTCTTTCTCTTCCTCTTTCTCTTCCTCCGCCATCCCTCTCCTGCTGCTCCTCCTGCTCCTGCTCCTCCTCCTCCTCCTCCTGCTCCTCTTGCACTTATTGCTCTTCCTCCTTCCCTCCCGCCCAGGGCCCTCCCTCCCTTCGCCCCTCACTCCCTCCCTCCTCCCCCTAGAGGCGGGGCGGCGGAGGTGACCTCGAGGGGGCGCCCCAGGACACGATCGTCCTGCTCGCCGAGGGCCGCGACGTGCTCGCCTTTGCGCGCACCGGCGTCCGGGAGATTTCAGTGCTGCCGCCAGACCCGCCCGGAGGGGACCAGCCATCGGCTGGATACCCTGCCGCCGCGCCGTCGGGTCCGCAGGGGTGCCCCGAGGGCGGGGAGGAGAAGGAGGATGATGATGATGATGAGGAGGAGGAGGAGGAGGAGGACGAGGAGGAGGAGGAGGACGAGGAGGAGGAGGAGGAGGAAGAGGAGGAGGCGGCGGAGGTGGAGGAGGAGGAGGCGGAGGAGGAGGAGGAGGAGGAGGAGGAGGAGGGGATGGAGCAGCAGCCGCGGGCGCCGTAGTTCCCTGCCGCATTTGCGGCCATTCCCAGGAAACCGTCGTGCACCTCCTGGGGCACTGCGGCCGCGCAGCCGCGGTGCTCCACCGCCAGCCCCAGCCACAGGCAGCGGACCTGGCAGGCAGCCTCACGCCGCAGGAGGCGCGCGGGCACAGCCACCTCCCCCGCTTCCATGGCCCCCTCCCTGTTGGGTGTGCATGGTCCTGGGCCTCTGCCCCGTCCCTCCCTGGGCCCAGTCGCCCCTCCCCTCTCCCCCTCCCCTCTCCCCCTCCCCTCTCCCCCTCCCCTCTCCCCCTCCCCTCTGGCCCCGCTAGGCCCAGCGCCGGGGTGTGCTTGCGTGGGTCGTGGCCTGCATCTGGCCCTGGCCTGGCCTTCTGGCCCTGGCTCCTGGCTTCTGGCGCGTCCCGGGCCTGCCTGTGGACCCCGCTGGCTGCTGCTCTTCCACTCTGGGCCGGCTACCCACCAGCAGCAACCCAGCCCAAATTTGGGCTGCTGAGGGTCGCTCCTGGGCGGCAGTCCACGAGCCTCGTCCTGGTGGGGGCGCTGGGCGACCCCTTTTTCTAGTGCCCCAGGTGAGGGGCCCCCCTGCTCCCGCATTGGGCTGCGGCCAACAGGCCCCCGGCCGCGGGGAAAGGCAGCCAGCGGGCACCTGCTCGCTCGCGAGTGAGAGCCCGCGCTGCGCGGGCGGGCCAGGCACGCGCCCGAACTGGGGGGTGGCGTCAAGCGATGCAGAAGGAAGGAGGAAAGGGAGCGACGAAGGCATGGAGGAGGAGGAGGAGGAGGAGGTGGAGGAGGAGGAGGAGGAGGACTACTACTACTACTACTACTACTACTACTGCTACTACTACTATTCCTAATCCTACTACTACTACGACCACTACTACTACTACTACTACTACTACTACTACTACTACTACTACTACTACTACTACTACTACTACTACTACTACTACTACTACTACTACTACTACGACGACGACGACGACGACGACGACGACGACGACGACGACTACTACTACTACGATTACTATTAGTATTACTATCTCTAGTAAAAGCATTACTACTACTACTTCTACTACTACTACTACCACTACTACTACTACTACTTTTATTATTACTACTACTACTGCAATCGCTACGACTACTACTACGACCACTACTACTACTACTACTACGACTCCCCTACTACTACTACTACTAACTACTACTACTACCACTACTACTACCACTACTACTACTACTACGACCTACTATTAACACTACCCTACTACTAACTCCCACCACTACTACTACTACTTACTATACTACTAACTAACTAACTACTACTACTACTTCTACTACTACTACTACTACTACCCCTACTACCTACTACGAATGCTACTACTACTTGCTACTACTACGACTTACTACTAACTACTTATTTCTACTAACTACTACTACTAACTACCTACGACTATCTATCCTACTACTACTACTACTAACTACTACTACTACACGACGACGACGACGACGAACACGACCGACGACGACGACGCGACGACGAGTACTACTACTACTACTACTACTACTACTACTACTACTACTACTACTACTACTAATACAACTACTACTACTACTACTACTAATACTACTACTACTACTACTACTACTACTACTACTACTACTACTACTACTACTACTACTACTACTACTACTACTACTACTACTACTACTACTACTACTACTACGACTACTACTGCTACTACGACTACTACTACTCCTACTCCTACTACTAGTACTACTTCTTCTACTACTTCTACTACCACTACTATTACTACGACTGCTACTACTACTGCTACTGCTACTTCTTTTACTACTATTACTACTACTACTACTACTACTACTACTACTACGACTACTACTACGACTACGACTACGACGACGACAACAACTACTACTACTAGTATTATTTTTACTACTACTACTACTTCTACTACTACTACTACTACCACTACTACTACTACGACTGCTACTACTACTGCTACTACTACTACTACTACTATTATTTCTACTACTACTACTACTACGACTACTACTACACTTACTACTACTAACTAACTAGCTAATACTACGACGACGACACGACGACGACGACGACGACGAGACAACTAGTGCAGGTTCGTGTCCTACTACTACGACTACTACTACTACTACTACTACTACTACTTACTAGTACTACTATTTACTACGACCTACTATTACTACTACTACTGACTAACTACTACTACTACTACTACTACGACTACTACTACTCCTACTCCTACTACTACTACTACTACTACTTCTTCTACTACTTCTACTACCACTACTACTACTACGACTGCTACTACTACTGCTACTACTACTTCTACTACCACTATTACTACTACTACTACTACTACTACTACTACTACTACTACTACTACTACTATTACTGCTGCTACTACTACTACTACTACTACGACTACTACTACGACTACGACGACGACGACGACTACGACTACGACTACGACGACGACGACGACGACGACTACTACTCACTACTCCTATTCCTATTCCTTATTAGAATATACTCCTACTCCCCCCTCAGGCCGGCAGATAGGGGGCCCATCCGGGTGGTCCCATCCTAACGTGTAAAAAACAATACAAAATCAACATTTTTCTTTTTTCCTCTCGACATGGACGTCCTGTCGTCCACGGCGATAACCCATTGCAAAAAATACCACAAAGAGCACACGCGCGCGTTCATGTCAGAATCCTACCGAACACCGTGTGTTTGCAAGCATTTCAACATAAAAACATCAAAAACCCAATGCTTTTTCACAAAAAAACTACACATTTCCTGCCCGGGCTCTCTTGCTGAAATCATAGGAAAACCATAGGAATCTTAAGAATTCGGTCAAATCCAGCGATTTCACGTCATCGCGCGGTGCACTCGCGATGCTCTGTCATGCACCCAGGCCGCGAATCCTGTGCAAAAAATACCACGCGGGCGACATGCGCGCGCGTCGCCGCGAGCGCATGCTCAAATCCTTCTAGAGTCGTCGCCGTCATTGGCACCGTCGCATGGACGTCCTGTCGTCCACGTCGCAAAATGCATGGCAGGAATGGGACCCGGCTTACCGGGCCGTTCTCGACACGGCCACCTCTGGCTTCCTGCGGTGTACCGGGCCATTCTCGACTCGTCTGGCAATGCGTGCGCGGCGTTCAACACGCGCTCGCCAGTTCCCGTCGGCAACCGCCATCGCGGCCGCATCAGCTGTACCAAACCGGCTGGCCGGTGTGACTTCGGCCCCCAGTTGTGCCAGCTTTGCTTCTTATGTTGTGGGAGGGCGGGTGGGACTGGGCATGCCATGCTTGACTCGCTCGAGCTGGCTAGCTTGACTCCTACTCCTATCCTTATTCCTTATTAGAATATACTCCTACTCCCCCCTCAGGCCGGCAGATAGGGGGCCCATCCGGGTGGTCCCATCTTAACCTGTAACAAATTATACAAAATCAACATTTTTCTTTTTTTTTCCTCTCGACATGGACGTCCTGTCGTCCACGGCGATAATCCATTGCAAAAAATATTACAAAGAGCACACGCGCGCGTTCATGTCAGAATCCTACCGAACACCGTGTGTTTGCAAGCATTTCAACATAAAAACATCAAAAACCAAATGCTTTTTCACAAAAATTGTACAAATTTCCCGCCCGGGCTCTCTTGCTGAAATCATACGAAAACCATAGGAATCTTAAGAATTCGGTCAAATCCAGCGATTTCACGTCATCGCGCGGTGCACTCGCGATGCTCTGTCATGCACCCAGGCCGCGAATCCTGTGCAAAAAATACCACGCGGGCGACATGCGCGCGCGTCGCCGCGAGCGCATGCTCAAATCCTTCTAGAGTCGTCGCCGTCATTGGCACCGTCGCATGGACGTCCTGTCGTCCACGTCGCAAAATGCATGGCAGGAATGGGACCCGGCTTACCGGGCCGTTCTCGACACGGCCACCTCTGGCTTCCTGCGGTGTACCGGGCCATTCTCGACTCGTCTGGCAATGCGTGCGCGGCATTCAACACGCGCTCGCCAGTTCCCGTCGGCAACCGCCATCGCGGCCGCATCAGCTGTACCAAACCGGCTGGCCGGTGTGACTTCGGCCCCCAGTTGTGCCAGCTTTGCTTCTATGTTGTGGGAGGGCGGGTGGGACTGGGCATGCCATGCTTGACTCGCTCGAGCTGGCTAGCTTGACTCCTACTCCTACTCCTACTCGCCTACCTCCTACTACTACCACTACTACTAACTAGTACGACGACTATATATTACTATCTACTACTAGCACTACTACTACTACTACGCCCTACAAACGACTACTACAACTACTAACTAACTACTACTACTACTACGACTACGACTATTACTACTACAACTACTACTACTACTACTACTACTACTACTACTACTACTACTACTACTACTACTACAACTACTACTACTCACACTACTACTACTACTACTACTACTACTACTACTACTACTACTACTACTACTACTACTACTACTACTACTACTACTACTACTACTAACTACTACTACTACTACTAACTACTACTAACTACTACTAACTACTACTAACTACTACTACTACTACTACTACTACTACTACTACTACTACTACTACTACTACTACTTACTGCTACGACTACTACTACTACTACTACTACTACTACTACTACCACTACTACTACTACTACTACTACTACTACTACTACTACTACTACTACTACTACTACTACTACTAC